GTGATCTAGCCGCCACTAGAGGATGGATGGCGGAGACCTTGGCTTCGTACGCTATGCCTAGCACCGAGAGGTAACCGTTTTAATCGTTTATTTAGATGGAAAGCGGTAGTTACGTGTCTGCATTAATTGTCAGACTGGCTACCGGTTTGAATTTTTTCTTTACAAATAACGACATTACACGGCCTTCCTAACAGGTTCACCGAGGTATGCTTGAGAACGTCCCAGCTGGTTGCTGCTTTGCGCGATTTTCTTCCACAAACGGCCTTAAAAGAATGCGAGACAAGGTGGGGCGGAGTAGCAGATCCCAGGTTCTTGATAGAAGGCGCGGCAGGGGACTTAGTGTCAGCCACTGAACAATGTTTAGTGGATCCTCTTTGGAAGATCTCGGTATCGATGAACCTTAGATGTGGGATGGAATCGCGGGTAACGGACGCCGAGCATCGTTTGAAGATCGTCTTCCACCATCGTCAACTGGACGACACGGATCTGGGCAGACGAGTCAGAAGAGAATTGAAGAACCAATCGCCGTACTTTGAACAGCCTCTGTATATGGGAGCCGTGGAAGAAGAGAAAGATCCCGGGGTGTACGTCACTTCCGTTCGCGCAAGAGATCCCGAAGGTGGCACGGTTCGTTACTCCATGAGTTCCTTGTTGGATGCCAGGTCCCAGTCTTTGTTGGTCCTTGACCCCGTGAGCGGTAGAGTTACCACTAGGGCAAGATTGGACAGGGAAAGCGTGGACGTGCATTACTTCAAGGTTTTGGCAGTGGACGATTCCTTTCCACCGCGAACGGGCTCTACCACCCTCCAGGTAAACGTCTTAGACGCGAATGACCATGCACCAAACTTCGAGTGGCCGGAGTACGACGCGTCCGTTCGGGAAGGCGTCCCAGTGGGCTCGACGGTGGTCACGGTCAAAGCGACGGATCAGGACGCTGGCAGGAACGCGGAGCTCGAATATTCTATCTTGTCTACGACCAGCGGAAGTGGAACGGCGAACAGCGAAGATACCTTGATCTTTCGTATTGACCCCAGGTCAGGAGTAGTTACGACTCGCACCCCGCTCGACAGAGAGAAAACCGAGGTGTACACGGTGATTTTGAGCGTGTCAGACCAGGCGACTCCGCCTTCCGCGAGGAAAACGGCGAACGCCACTCTGGTGGTTCGAGTATTGGACGATAACGACAACTACCCTCAGTTTACCGAACGCACCTATTCCGTATGGATACCCGAAGACTTGGACTACACGGCTAATCCGGTAATTGCTCGAATAAGAGCTACGGACGCGGACTCTGGGAACAACGCGGCTGTTAGATACGCCATCATTGGTGGAAATACACAGAACACCTTCTCCATAGACTCCATGAGCGGTGACGTCGCTCTCGTGAAACCACTCGACTATGAATCGACCAGGAGTTACAAAATTGTAATACGTGCACAGGACGGTGGTTCACCTGCACGTTCCAACACTACGCAGTTATTGGTGCACGTGAAGGACGTGAACGATAATGCTCCGCGCTTTTATACGAGCCATTTTCAAGAATCCGTATCGGAGAACGTGGCTATAGGATGTTCGATCTTGAGGATACAGGCGTACGATGCTGACGAAGGAGCCAACGCTCAGATCAAATACACTATCGGAGCTCGAGATTTTTCCGGAGCCTCGACAGAGAACTTTCCTATAACCGTCAGTTCGGAAACTGGATGGATCTATACGACGAAGCAATTGGATCGCGAGCAATGTTCCAGGTTAGTTATTTAAGACTTATCAGGACTCTTATGTTTAAAACAATTCCCTTACGTACGATCATGAACCGATGAATTTTTTTTTTCAGATATCAATTTACGGTAATTGCAGCGGACTCGGGAGAGGCTCCAAAATCGGCTAGTGCCACCGTGATACTTACAGTCACCGACGTGAACGATAACGACCCCTATTTCGATCCAAAAAATTATGAAGCCGTGGTGTCCGAAGACGATCCACCAGGCACTCCAGTTACCTCCGTTACGGCCACCGATCCCGACGAAGATGCTAGGATACATTACGAGATCACCACGGGTAACACCAGAGGTCGATTCTCGATCGCATCTCAGAACGGACGGGGTTTGATAACGGTCGCGCAGCCCCTCGACTATAAACAGGAAAAGAGGTTTGTGCTGACTGTCACAGCTTCCGATAGCGGAGGAAGAACCGACACGGCTCTCGTCTACGTGAACGTTTCGGACGCGAACAATTTTTCGCCCGTCTTTGAAAACGCACCCTATTCTGTCTCCGTATTCGAGGATGCACCCATCGGTACCACGGTCCTTGTTGTCAGCGCAACCGATTCGGATGTTGGAAAGAATGCTCAAGTTACTTATAGTTTGGATACGGATGGCGGGGATCAATCAGCGTCCGAATTCACCATAAATCCTCAAACTGGAGCCATAACAACCACTCGGCCCCTTGATCGTGAGCTCATACCCGCATATCTCTTGACGGTTACGGCGAGAGATGGGGGTGTACCGCCATTGTCCGACACTACCGATGTTGAGATATCAGTTACCGACGTAAACGACAATTCTCCGGTTTTCGAAGCTCCACAATATCAGGGCTCGATCCCGGAAGACGTATTGGTCGGCACCAGCGTTCTGAGAGTTTCTGCTACGGATGCGGATACGGATCTCAACGGCAGGGTAAGCAATTTTTGGACTTGCTAATAAAGACCATCGGTATTTATAATTGTCTTTTTTTGTTGCTTTAGGTAAGATACGCGTTAGATGACGACGGTGACGGGGCTTTTGCCGTAGACTCGACCACAGGAATAATCAGAACAGCTAAGCCGTTGGACAGAGAATCGGTGGCGAGGTACGTTTTGAAAGCTATCGCTATGGATAGGGGTTCTCCCTCGCTCTCGACGACAGTACCAGTTACCATCAAGATTGAAGATATAAACGATTCACCTCCTGCTTTTGAAAACGACAAAATCGTTCTCTACATAGCGGAGAACTCACCTGTAGGCTCTACTGTCGGTGAAATCTACGCGCACGATCCGGACGAGGGACCAAACGCCGTTGTGCAATACTCCGTGATAGGAGGCGAAGATTCCAACAGTTTCGCATTGAATGTTAGACCAGGCTCAGATCGTGCCGAATTAATCACTCTAGAAGAGCTGGATTACGAGTCTCCCAAAAAAAAATTCGAGCTGGTCGTGCGTGCTGCCTCACCTCCTCTCAGATCAGATGCTTTGGTTCAAATTTTGGTAACGGACGTGAACGATAACGCGCCCGTGTTAAAAGATTTCCAGATCATCTTCAACAATTTTAAAGACTTCTTTCCCACCATGCCTATTGGCAAGATACCCGCGGTCGACGCGGACGTCACGGATAAGCTCACGTACACCATCCTTGCTGGTAATAACGCTAATTTAATCGACCTGAACAGGACCACTGGAGAGATCCGTTTGTCTCCGCAACTGAACACTAACGTGCCACGGGTGGCGACGATGGAAGTCTCTGTCACAGACGGCATCAACGAGGTCAAAGCCACCATGACCTTGTCCGTGCGTTTAATCACCGACAAGATGCTTCTGAATTCCATCACTGTTAGATTAGACGACATGACAGCCGAGGCTTTCCTCAGTCCCTTGTTGGGCTACTTTCTCGACGGCCTGGCGGCAATTATCCCGTGTCCCAGAGAGAACATATTTCTGTTCAGCATTCAGGAGGATGCGAACGTACACGGAAAGATTCTGAACGTGAGCTTCTCTGCTCGCAAAGTCGAGCCAGGCATGACCGACGAATTTTATAGTCCGCAATTTCTTCAGGAACGCGTGTACTTGAACAGGGGTATCTTGGCTAAATTAGCCACCGTTACTGTGTTGCCTTTCGACGACAATCTCTGCGTAAGAGAGCCTTGTTTAAATTTTGAAGAATGCTTGACTGTGCTGAAGTTCGGCAACGCTTCTGGATTCGCGAGTAGCGATACCGTGCTTTTCAGACCGATATATCCGGTGACTACATTCGCCTGTAGGTGTGCAAAGGGTTTCACCGGAAGCAAGGAATCCTACTTATGCGACACGGAAGTCAATTTGTGTTATTCGAATCCTTGTATAAACGGTGGTACCTGCTACAGGCGGGAAGGTGGTTACGCTTGCTCTTGTAGTCCAGAGTTCGCAGGGGAGAATTGCGAAATCTCCCTGGACAAGGACCCTTGTGAGCCTGGTGTCTGTAAAGGAGGTTCTCAGTGTACCATCAAAACCACCGGTGGTTTCACCTGCGAAGGATGCCCCGTAACTACTTTAGAAAACGTGACTCCTCTTTGCGAACTCAAAGCACGTAGCTTTGGACCTGAAACTTTCCTCACGTTTGCCTCCCTGAAGCAGAGGCATAGGTTGCATCTGAAATTGAAGTTTGCTACTGAATCCGCGAACGGATTATTGCTCTACAACGGTCGGTACAACGAGAAGCATGATTTCATAGCGCTGGAAATAATCGAATCACAAGTGCAGTTCAGCTTTTCTCTGGGGGACGAAATCACTCGAGCGAGTGCCAGCATACCTGGTGGGGTTTCCGACGGTCAGTGGCACGAAGTGGAAGTTTCGTATATAAACAAAACTGTGACGATCTCTCTGGACAACTGTGACATCGCTTTGGCTCTAGAATTTGGTGATAGATTGGGTCCAAAGTGGTCGTGCGCAGGAAGAAGCGAACAAGTGCTTGAAGAGCGCTGCAGTATTATCACCGAGACGTGTCACCGATTTTTGGACTTAACGGGACCCCTACAACTGGGCGGTTTACCTGCCATACCCTCCAGTTTTCAGATCAGAAATAAGGATTTTGTCGGTTGCATCAGTGACCTCTATATCGATCACATATTCATCGATTTAAATTCCTTCGTAGCCGATAATGGTACCAACCCAGGCTGTCCAGAAAAGGCTTCTTTCTGTTCATCCATGCCATGCAAGAACAACGGGAAGTGTCGCGAAGTGTGGTCCGGATTCGTCTGCGAGTGCGAGGAAAACTTCGCAGGACCTACTTGTACCGACGAGGTTGGTAAACCCTGGAACTTCCACGGCGACGGTATGCTCAGTTTCAACCCTCTACTGAGACCTATTCAGCTACCCTGGTTAACAGCCCTGAGCCTGAGGACGCGCGCGAAACAGGCGTTCGTCATGAGCGTGCAAATAGGACAAAACAGCTCGGCGTTGCTGGAAATCCGAGAGGGCAAACTGGTCGCTCTGCTGGATGGCGCGGATATTGTACAGACCGCTAACAATGTGGCCGACGGTGAGTGGCATCGCATCGAGATTCTCTGGCAGAGTGGACAAGTCTCCTTGGACCGGGATTACCGCAACAGGCCCATATCGTCTCCGCTGCCAGCGAAATTGCAGGGACTCTACGTTGGCAGGATCCTGGTGGGTGGACCGGAACAGTCGATGAACACGGAACTGCCGTTCTTCGATGGTTGTCTGCAGGACATCCGCATCGGCACTAATCAGAGTGTACTCTTGCGGCCCACCGTTCAGGAAAAATTGCTCTACAACGGTCGGTACAACGAGAAGCATGATTTCATAGCGCTGGAAATAATCGAATCACAAGTGCAGTTCAGCTTTTCTCTGGGGGACGAAATCACTCGAGCGAGTGCCAGCATACCTGGTGGGGTTTCCGACGGTCAGTGGCACGAAGTGGAAGTTTCGTATATAAACAAAACTGTGACGATCTCTCTGGACAACTGTGACATCGCTTTGGCTCTAGAATTTGGTGATAGATTGGGTCCAAAGTGGTCGTGCGCAGGAAGAAGCGAACAAGTGCTTGAAGAGCGCTGCAGTATTATCACCGAGACGTGTCACCGATTTTTGGACTTAACGGGACCCCTACAACTGGGCGGTTTACCTGCCATACCCTCCAGTTTTCAGATCAGAAATAAGGATTTTGTCGGTTGCATCAGTGACCTCTATATCGATCACATATTCATCGATTTAAATTCCTTCGTAGCCGATAATGGTACCAACCCAGGCTGTCCAGAAAAGGCTTCTTTCTGTTCATCCATGCCATGCAAGAACAACGGGAAGTGTCGCGAAGTGTGGTCCGGATTCGTCTGCGAGTGCGAGGAAAACTTCGCAGGACCTACTTGTACCGACGAGGTTGGTAAACCCTGGAACTTCCACGGCGACGGTATGCTCAGTTTCAACCCTCTACTGAGACCTATTCAGCTACCCTGGTTAACAGCCCTGAGCCTGAGGACGCGCGCGAAACAGGCGTTCGTCATGAGCGTGCAAATAGGACAAAACAGCTCGGCGTTGCTGGAAATCCGAGAGGGCAAACTGGTCGCTCTGCTGGATGGCGCGGATATTGTACAGACCGCTAACAATGTGGCCGACGGTGAGTGGCATCGCATCGAGATTCTCTGGCAGAGTGGACAAGTCTCCTTGGACCGGGATTACCGCAACAGGCCCATATCGTCTCCGCTGCCAGCGAAATTGCAGGGACTCTACGTTGGCAGGATCCTGGTGGGTGGACCGGAACAGTCGATGAACACGGAACTGCCGTTCTTCGATGGTTGTCTGCAGGACATCCGCATCGGCACTAATCAGAGTGTACTCTTGCGGCCCACCGTTCAGGAAAACGTCGCGACTGGCTGCAATTCTGAAGCCGAGTGCAGTGTCGACTGCCCAGACGCGTCGATCTGCGTGGCCAAATGGCAAGCCAGCGAGTGCGTATGCGCGGCGGGTCGAGTTGGCCGCAATTGTGAACGAGTTTGCGATTTAAATCCTTGCAATAACACCGGCGTTTGTGTGGAGGATTCTAGTTTGCGCAAAGGATACAGGTGCGAGTGCGATTCGCCAGAGTACTCTGGAGATTATTGCGAGATCAGAGCCGACCAACCTTGTCCCGCTACGTGGTGGGGATCACCCGTCTGCGGACCCTGTCATTGCGACGAATCCAAAGGCTACGACCCTGCCTGCAACAAGACCACTGGCGAATGTTACTGCAAGGAGAATCACTATCAACCTCCTGGAAAGAAGGAGTGCATCCCTTGCGAGTGCTATGCGACCGGAAGTTTTGGTCCTCGCTGCGACACCGAGACCGGACAGTGTCGGTGTCGTATCGGGGTTATTGGACGATCTTGCACGGCGTGTCCCAATCCTTACGCGGAAGTTACCCTTCGTGGTTGCGAGGTTGTGTACGATGGCTGCCCTAGATCTTATGCCGAGGGTCTTTGGTGGCCAAGGACGAAATTTGGAATGATCGCAGTCGAGGATTGTCCGGATACAGCTGAAGGAAAGACATCCAGATCCTGTGACGATAAACTGGGCGGCTGGCAAGAGCCAGATTTGTTCAACTGCACCTCGGAGGCGTTCATCGAACAAAGACATCAGTTGGCAGCGTTAGAAATGAAAGATTTGACACTGAACACTTATGTAGCGGTTAAGATAGCTAAGGATGTGCATGCTGCGATGAATTTGACGAAGGAGTTGTACGGAGCAGACTTATTGATCGCTGAATCGTTATTAGTCGCGTTATTGCGGTACGAGGAAAGCCTGGTAGGTTTGAATTTAACACACAGTCAGGATAAGGATTACGTCTCCCACCTGGTTGGTATTGCTAGCAGTATTTTGAAATCCAAATATAAGGAAAAATGGGCCAGAATCGAGACCCTTAACGGAGATACCCCTGATAAAATCTTAGATTCAATGGGGAGCTACTTGAAGATTCTGACCGCGTCTCAACATGATACTTTCACAAATCCTTTTGAAGTGGTTGATGATAACGTTGGTAAGCAACTCGGATATCGTTTACTCCCCATAGCTTTACAGCTGTAAATGTCATTTTTAATCGTGGGTCATTTACACGTTTTAGTGTTAGGCTTGGACGTGGTAACTTCAGAAAGCTTATTCGGGTACGAGACAGCTGAGTACAAGGAAGATCCATCAGCGTCAACGGCCAGACCATCCGAAGCGGATCAGAAAGTCGTGATTCCTGATACATCAGGATTTCTTTCCTCCCCTACACATTTTGGTCCTTCGATTACCTTCCCTAAATACAACAATTACATGGCTGATCCGAACAGATTCGATCCGTACTCGAAGATACGTGTCCCTCTTGACGTGTTAGGCATTAAACAGTTAATGCAAGGAGAATTGAATGTTAAAAAAAGTTTGGTCAATCGAAAGGCTGTGCTAAGTTACGTGCAATATAAACAATTAGGCGCTCTTCTGCCTCAAAGGTGAGTAATCGAAAATTTCGGAGTATATGTAATGCACATATAGATAGACACGAGAAGTAATTGAAATTGTGTTTCCAGATTCGATGATTCTGTAGCGGTGAGATGGGGCGTAGAAGTAGCAGTAGGATCACCCGTTGTGACGGTATCCGTTTTAGTCCCTTCTGACGAAGGTTACGAGTCCCTCACTGGAATTCCTCTACAATCTCCGGTTCAGATCAGCCTCTGGCTCAGCGAGAAGGATGATCTTAAGACTAGAACCAATCCACAGTGCGTGCATTGGAGCACAGCTAGGGGGTATGCCACGCTTTGCTTGTACCAGCATGATTAAGTAATAGCTCGCGAGTCACAGACAATCAAACATGTTTTCATATTGCAGGATTGGTGAATGGAGTCGAATGGGTTGCACCACCGAAGTCGAGGACGACTCCTTGTCCTTTGGCACAATTGTTAATTGCTCATGCTTTCAACTCTCTACTTTTGCGATATTGACGGATGTCCTCGATCTGGAATACGTTCCAGAACCATCATTGTTAGAGGATGTAACAAGTTACAGTGCATTCATGCTCGCGCTGCCTTTACTCTTGTCTGCCTTGCTCATTCTGGCCTTAATACGTGGCGGTAGCACAAATTCAAATAGTATACACAAAAATCTAGTGATGTGCGTATTTTTCGCCGAAGTGCTATACCTTATAGCTCTTAAAGCCAGGAGCCCTCTAGTCTCGAACGAATTTCCCTGCAAATTGACAGCAATTGGCCTGCACTACGCGTGGCTTAGTACATTCTCGTGGACTCTGGTTGACTCTATTCATCTTTATCGAATGTTGACCGAAATGAGAGACGTGAACCACGGACAAATGAGATTTTATTATACGATGGGCTATGGTGCCCCTGCCATTATCGTTGGGCTAACGATAGGGGTTAGAGCCGACCAGTATGGCAACTTTTACTTGTACGTAAAGTTTCGAAATTATTTCAGCAATACTGTCAGTAGATTTATTTTATTTATATATGTGTTGTTTCAGTTGTTGGTTGTCGATCTACGAAACTGTGATTTGGTCTTTAATAGGACCAGTATGCGTTGCCGTGTTCGTAAATTTCTGCATCCTGATCATGTCAGTACGCGCGGCCTTTACCTTGAAGGAACACATCATGGGCTTTGGAAATTTGAGAACGTTACTTTGGCTATCCGTAGCCTCCTTGCCTTTACTCGGATCCACCTGGACTTTGACAGTCCTTAACGCGTCCGAGAACTCGCCAACGTTATCGTATTTGCTCAGCATAGCGGTGGTCGTTCACGCGGCTTTCAGTTTGATCGGTTATTGCTTCATCAATGGCAGGGTGAGAAGAAACCTGTACTTGAGCCTACTGAGGTGTATCGGAAAGAAAACGCCTTTATTAGAGGGAAGCATGGGAAATGGAAGCAGCAGCCAGAATGTGAATGGTCATTCGGTATGTTGGATAATTCTCACACATTCTGAACGAAAAATTATTTAATCATGGGGCATTCCCTGTTTAATTATTCGCTCGAATACGTATACTGTGTCTCATCTTAATACATCTATTCGAATTTCTAAGATACTGCTAGATAGCCTTAGTAGGTTCAGTAACAGTCTTTGGACTAGTCTCTCGTTATTTTCCAAAATCTTAAAAGATGTTATCACGAGAAATTATGTTACAGAGATCAGCGTTGGCGTACTCGTCAACGTACAGTGGAGCAGAATCTGTGTGTAGAAGGGTTCATGTAGGAGTTTCAACTAGCAGCACAACTTCTCGAAGTACAAATAAAACTGGGTCCAGCCCCTATCGTAGTGATACGCACTTAAGGCATACCTCAACGTCTACAAGTAATTACAATAGCGATAGAGATCCCTACATGTCGTCCAGGAGTCACAGATCCGCGTTGCATTCTAGACAAGGTATTTCTTCGAGGTTCACGTTTAAAAAATTTCATTTTGGGCTGTTATTATTAATTGTAATAAAATTATAGAAACGACAGAAACACGGACTCAACGTAGAGATTCCGAGTCGGATTCAGATGGATCCCAAGCTGAGGGTGGTGGTAGGAGTTTAGATCTTGCGAGTTCGCATAGCTCCGACGAAGAGGATGTAGCGTCGAGATCTCATAGGAACATGGGAGTATCGACGCAGCAACCTGTTGCGCACAGCTATTTGCCCAACATCCACAATAATCCTACCGAACACTTGAACATACTTTGCTCAAATACGGAACTCTTTCCAAATATTAAGCCTATTTATGCGCCTAGATGGAGTTCCCAACTGCCAGAAGCATACCTGTCCTCGAACGGTAAGTTGTAATATAATAGCGATTATTTGATCTATCTGTCGCTGATATAACATGTGATCGAGGAGTATTTAATTGTTCAAAAATCATTTATAGTGATAGACGTGAGAGGTAGTCAATGGTCAGGAGGTACCATGTCCGACAACGAGATGGCGTCGAACAAAACGTCCAGCCCAAATCCACTGCCTTACCCTGAAATGAGCTCACCCCAGAAAAGTCAGCCGGACGAAAATTATTCCGAAGGCGAAGAAAAGATTCACCATCTGGGAGAGAAGTATTTGTTCCCTTACACCGCTGAGGAAGATCACACCATCTCGCCTACCCCCTACATGTTACCCATGTCTTCCCGGATCCTAGCGTCCAGCATGAGTCACCATTCGCAGAACTCGAACCACGAGAATATGAGCGGTTCAGAAAGGTATGGAAGCTTGAAAAGGGGGCAGAGTCTGCACGGATCCCAGCACGATAACCTCAGCGGTTCTGAAAGATACGGAAGCCTGAAGCGAGGTAAAATTACGCCGACTGTGCTGGAGGATTCGCCGGAATATATTCTACCGATGAGCGGTAGAATATTGTCCAGTTCGTTGAGTCATGATCTACAGCACAGTAACGAGTTGGCTGCTCTTCGGCAACAGCAGCAGCAGCAATACGAGCAAACAATCACCGAGACAGAGTAAGTATGATGTCCATATCTTGTAAAATTTTTTCAGACAGTTTTGATACATTTTGATTAACTGTCTTTTTTACACTTTACGCTTGCTCTGGAATAATTAGTGAAGAGGTAAGCGTTGAAAAAATTAGTCTAGAATTGTATTGCACAATTAATAACAGTGTGCAGTAACTATAAATCACGAGGTTACAAATTATTAACACGTTGTCTGCCACATTTATTCAAAACAAAAGGTTCTAATGAAGTTTTTTAACAGTTTTAGCGTGGCAATCAACGTGTTAAAATGTTGAAGATAGAATTGCACAATTTGCTGTAAAAGTATCGATACTTTATAGAATCAATAGCCTACATGTCCAATACACAGAGCTTACTCATACTTTATTCCTGTTGTTTCAGGAAGGATACTAATGCGGAAACGTCAGTATGATGGGCTCCGTGCTACAAACAAACACCGTACAAAGTAATCTAACGTACTATTAGCTTAAAATTCAAATGATATATATAAATATATAAATATACATATATTTCTTAGAGCTGTAAGTGCTCTAAGATATATTTTAAGAGCGGCCATGACTGTACTTAAGAGGTTAGCCATATCGGTTAGTATGTATGTGTGAGTGCCTGTACGTATCTATACGCATACGCTTGTCGTTATTTCGTTTCGTGTGATTTTACGCCTCGGTTTCGAAGCGTGTTTCTTCCGATTCTCTTCGCGCGCTATCACGAATCTTTATCGACGATAACGAACGCGAATTGTCGGAGGACAAAATGATCTCTAGTTCATTTCATTGCTCGTGTAATTAACTTCACTTCCTCCAGTACCTTAATTCTCTTTAACTCAGTATTCGTGCAATGTATACATTCCACTTCCTTTATATATATATATTTAGATTCTAATCTCTTTTTTCTCTTTTATCTTTTCCTCTTTTTTTAAGAAGTTTACAATGTTTTATACATGCCATGGAATAAGCGTACAACCGTGCAACGCAATTTTCATAGTTTTGTATATATTTATATACGAAAAGAATGTGACAAAATACATAATTTATATATATCCTTCATCGAGCGTTCTGTTTTCATTTTTTTTTAGCTGTGTCGGATGTGCCAATGATAGGGGTGTGCGGGTATACTTAATATCAGCTGTTGTATTCTGGCTTTAAACCCTTAATTTGAAAATGTAGAAGTCAATTGGATATCGCTATTTGAATATCGAAGTTGATATCGTCAAAATATCGTCCAATTTTTTCCGAATATATCTGATCGAACCCGGTTTTATCCAATCCGACCAAAGCCCGAAATGCCGGAATTCCATATATTCCGAGACGATGATATTCTCGTAGAGCTGCAACAGTCTCGTTGATAAAAATTACTTTTATTCTCATCGAAAATATAAATAAATTACAAAATATAGTTAGGTTAGTATTCGGAAGATCGTCGTCTTTAACATAAAGTCGCCGTAGCAATATCGATTTGAACGCCAAGCGCTACCAGAAGCGTTCTACGACGAGTCTTGGTGGTCCTCAGCGTTTCGATACCGCGCTTCTACTAAGGTACGTTATACACACGTGAGGGGTGCAATTAGTGATGGGCTAATATGTAAATACCATTAACATGTTGACTCACTTTCAAGTACCGAGTAAAATTTAGCGTGTTCGAAGAATCGCAAATCTTGAAAGTCTTTGATAGCTTTTGAATCTTAACACGTTGACTGCTGTGCTGAAATAATTGAAAATTTTATTTTGCGTAATTTCGAGTTTCCAATGCGAATATTATTAATTAAGTAATTAAAAAAATTACTAATAACAAGAATAATGGATTTGTACAAAATTCAAGTGTTACCTTCATATCGGCGATATGACAGTCAAAGCGTTAAAAAATGTTAATCGTGATCAAATCAGCGTGTCAATAAGTAAGAAATAATTAATGTAAAATAATACTACAAATGATAATATAATACTATTTAATAATACTAACATCATGGAAAAATAATAATACTAACTTTCTTGGAAAAGCTTGATACAGTCATCGAACAAATGTTTTTTCTTTATTCGAAGGGTCCCCGTCATTATATTTTCTTGACAAAATTTAATACATACAATTAAAATAATATTCTAAGACTCTCAAGATCCATTCAGTTATTATGCTTATTTAATTCTCTGCACTCGAGCGTGATTTTATTGTAAGGAAGAAGTAATTTAAAGTTTTCTTTTTTAAAAGTTGATCAAATTACAAAGAAATAACTTTCTATTAAGGTGAGAGATATCCAAACAATGCATGAAAGGACCTCTATCCATACAGTTAATTCTAAGAATTCTCTGCTCCTACAGTCCCATCCAGAACCACTTAGCTAGACTTCGTTATGCCCGTAAATCTCTGAATATTTCTATGGGTATGCTATCTACGAAATAAAAATGATACCAATTAGAGATTAAACCAAACGATGTGGGTTGTTCCTCAAGTGCGGAGATTTTTTTGACGTTTTCAATTGCGAAGGTATGCAATGCCCATCACTAGATGTTCGAAATATGAGTTTACGCATTAGAAGACTTAATTTCGATTATTAAAGGATTTTTCTTATGTATATTAATGTATATACGTTGTGATGATGTGCAAATGTCAGAGATCTCATTACGTAAATACAACAGGATCGAATTGTTAGTAACGCGATAACCACCGACCGTCAGAACTCCGAAAGTTTCGCAGTTACATACGATTCTACGATCGAATCTACTCGACTGTGACACACGCACATCACGATTAATCGCTAAGACTAGGAGATTCATCGTTGCTACACAGTGCTTTCCGTATCAGACGCCATGGACAACGTTTGAAGTTTAGGCACCGAGTAATTCTCGGAATGGCCGTGTAACTGGGTACGATTTGAGACTCTTTCCAAAGTCGACGGTGCTGATGGGGTGTCTTGATGTGCCTTGGGTGGTATCGGTGGTGGACTCACCTGAAAATGTATTTTTTTAGAGTTTTTACTTAAGCTTACGTGCTCAACATACAACATATTCGTACGAAATATAGAAATATAATTACCTCCTGCCCTGGTAAAGAATGGGAGCCCTGGAACATACCACTAGCAAAATTCCCCGTAGAGACGTTCAACGCGTTGATTACAGATGGCGGTGAAATGTTCATGATGTCGTTACATCTTGACCGTGGCTCAAAGTCCTCGTAACTCAAGTTGTTCAAATTGGTCAAGTGCGATTGGAAATCTAATAAACTGGCAGTTGATATACCGCTATCGCGAAGATCGTTCGGCTCGTTTTGCACTTCCGAATCATCGTCGGTGCTCCATTCGGTGTTACGTTTGTACGCTAAACGTTTTGGAGGCGCGGGTGGCACGATCGTATTCGTATTAGAGTCTCTCTTATCTGGCGCTGAAATATCAAAATTTCGATAATTTCTTATATTCTATCTCGTTAACACAATTAATCTGACAGAAGTTCATAAATGATCGCGTATACAAAACTTACTGCAACCTCTAGGTGGCAGTGGTGGAGCCGGTTCAGGACCAGGTTCGCTCCAGGAAGTCCTCAAACCAGCCTGATCGACACCATCGGTAGGCGTTGGCAAAGAATGTCTCAACGGTAGCTTTGGACTTAACGGTTTGCTAAGAGATCTCTGATGCGTAGGTCTTGGCGGAGTGGTTCCATAGCCCACAGAACGAGGCCGTACCTCTCGTTGCGGGATCGGTGGTGGACCACCATCCACTTTCGTATAAAAACCTTCGTCCTCGGGTAGACCGTCGCTATCCGCGTGAGAGTATCTGGAACCAGCTGTTTCCAACGTGGCTGGACGTTGTTTCTCGCTGACAGGTAACGGAGGTAATGGAGAACTACAAAAAATCAGGCACTGTAATATCTTTATAAATGAAAGTTTAATTTAAATCGCAAACAATATAAATAGAATGTTCAAGAGGTTCTGGGAATTTCAAATATAAAACAGGTACTATGCAATGCTCGTCTGGATGTCGTGTATCAAAGATCTACTTGGGCATACACACTCCTACCCAGGGAAAGTAATTCCTAAAACTGTTTGAATACGCCATGTGCATCGAATAATTACTTGACGATGCTATCGTGATGAATAGTCCGTTGTCTGGCCAACGGACCCAAGCCCTGCTTCAACTGCGTAAATCTCTCGTTGAGCCTTTTGTGAAGCGGCTGCACTCCAGCCGGTGCAATTTGGCCGTGTAAATTGAGTCCAGCCTCCAGCACGCTCATTTGATCAAGAATTAAACCTTTCAGCCTGTTTACGTGCGGCACCATGTCAGGATTCTGTCTAGCGAATTCTGGTGTGAGGAATGCTTCCTGATACTTGGTAATGCCACCCATCACGTTTGCGTCGATGATGCCTTGGAGTCTCATACTAAAGGGATTAATATTTCGATGAGGTTCGGCAGTGTATTGTGCGACCAGTCTCCTCAATTCTCTCTCCACGCTCTGCATGGTCTCGCAGGCGTATTGTACAGGAGCCAGCAACTCGGATCTTTTTTCGATTACCTCGAACCATCTGAGTATACCGGGTAGTTTGGCCTCGGTGGTCAGTGTGGTTCTCTCGATCCATAAGGATTTGAACTCGTTCTCGCGATCGACAGGGCCTCTGTGGAGCGGTCGGTCGAAGATGAACTTCCTAACGTCGTTCACCAGGTAAAAAGCGACCACCCGCTCTGGTACTTCTGCTCCTCTGCAGGCCAAGCTGCTCTCCTCTGGGATCGGTTTCACGTTGCAGATTTGTATATCTAAAACATCGAATTGTAAGGTCAATGGTTAACGATACGTTTAAACGATGAGTAAGAGAAAGGTCTTACATTGGCCCTCGGATGTAAGAATACTCTCATCGGGAGGTGAATTCTTCATTAATATTTGTGCGCTTGGAAATTCAGTCTGTAGTCGTTGCGTGAATGCCCCTATTCGCTCATACTCTAAACCGCGATATATAAACAACTTATTCTGCAAAATAAAAACAATTTTTAATGGTCACAATGGCTTTACTATTTCTTGCATCCTACACTTTCAGATTCCGGGGTAATATTACTCACCCTAACAAAGAGAGGAAAACTGAGACCATAAAAGCCTACTCTAAAATATTCCGGTTCAGGTCGAAGTTGCGTCAGTATATTATCGAGGAACTTGGCTTGCAATTTCAGTACGTGGCTCAGTTTCGCGTAATCGTATAACCTAGTCTCGTACAACACCGCCAATTCCTTGCACAAGGGAATACCCTTCTCCCAGCACTTGCCCCGATCCAAATAGTGGATTATCTTGTGATAGAGCACCTCTTTCCTTTGCCATTCTGGCTGTTGGGGATGTGCGTGATCCGGAGGTAACATAGTCGAACCCCAACCCAATTGATCGGCATACAATTTCATAGTGAATCCAGCTTCCGTATAGTTTTCTGCCGCTAGATGAAGGTCGTGCAATTTGTAGATATAGCGTAGGTACATCTCCTTCCGATTGAATTCATTTTTGTAAAAGTTCTGTGAGAAAAATTAGTTAAATATATAAGTTAAATATCTTATTATTAAAGCGGCGATAGTATATCTTATTACTAAGGAAACAAAGATAAACGAAGTACCGACTTAGATAGGTCAAGTGTGACATTGTTAGTCGCGACAATCACGTAACTAACCGTGTTGTTAAGGTAAGTACTAAGATAAGCAAATACGTTGCAGATAAGGAAACTAATTGACCTAACTGCCTTATTACTAAGATAACTAATTAGAGCTGTCAAGCTTGACACGTTCGTCCAACTGGTTTCCGAATATACGATTTTCAACTCACCAGTAAGTTAACGGTACACGACATACGCTTGTCACGATTCTCATCTCCCTGAATAACGCTTCTATAATCCAAAAGTCTCTCCAACAAACGGGTAATTGACGTGATGAAAGCAGTTCCGCTTTCCTTCCAGGCTGGATCTTCTAATTGTACTCTGTCTAATAATCTGTGTGTAAAAGCAATGTATATTATAAACACTCTATATTCGTATAACATAAAAAATGAAGTTTAAGTTTCGAATCATAGTCGCGAACTTACACGGCACTAAGATGCTCCCTAACGCAGCATGAAATGTAAATTAGGACAGGTTGAAATAGGTATAGAATAACAGCGCATATAACATAGTACTACTACAGTACAAATTTTAAACTTACGACTAAAAATGTTTAAATTCTACAATAACTTAAGAACAAAATTTTAAACTAATACTCACATGGTATTAAACAACTGCCTGTACTCGTCGTCACCTTTATTCTCGCTGATCAAAATATCCAATTTATCGATCAATTCCGATTCCACGGACTTGAAGCTACCTCTAGATTGCTGTTCGCATTCCATCATATCAAAGAAGATATGTAACGTGGCCTTACGAAGTTCGCTTTCGGGAACCAAAGTGACTTCCAAAAATGGACCCACCATCCCAGGAATAAACTCCAGCTTACGATCACCCAACTGAGTCCACATCGAGAGAATTTGAAATCCCATAAATACCCTCATGTCTCCATACTTTTCGACGATCTTCTCGCGTTTCACTTCAGAGAACTGCTCCAGTTGCAAGGAGGGTTGGGTCAGATAGGCCACGGCTAGATTAAAGTAGGTAGACCAAAGTTGCGAGTCGAAGGTGTCGTCCGAGAAACGGAAGGCCAGAGGTTGAGCTAGCTCTTGGAGAGACTTCAGTATAATGTTATTCGCCTGCATTCTGATCACCAACCAATCAGGTGGGAACACTTCCTGTCTGACGAGGTCGCGAAGCACCAGATATACTCTTAGAAGAAAATCCTTCAAGGGCTTCCGTTCACCGGTGTGAGTAAGCTCTTCCCATAATCGCGAATAATGATATTCATCCAAAAGTTGAAGCAATCCTATCAAACAAGCGACTAGACAACCCAACACGGGACCACTGGTGTTGATGACGATGAGGATAGTCTGTATCAATACATCCAGAATCGACAAACAGAGTGTCTCGACGTCATGCTGGATGCAGTTATTGACCTTGTTGGTGTCTCGACCCCGTTTGTGCAGAAAACTGAGTATTTCGCCGAGGATCTCTGTGCAAGATCGGAGCTCTTCGCGTCTGATAAGATGGATTCTCAGATGTCTGCACATAGTGACCAATAAAAGATTTCTGCTCTCGTCGTCTTCACGGAACAACGAAGATGTGGTCAAGTTCTTGATGGCTGTCAGCTTGGCTTGAGTTAACTGCAAGGATGGCTCGCGTGGCACGGAGTCAAGCATCGTGCAGGTGAGTTTGGCAACTTTGAGAACAGGCAATACGGCTACCAGTTGTTCGAACACCGGCGAGATGGAATAAAGCAACGCTATCTGAGAGTGGAGAACCATTTCGTAAGGGATGCCCAACATTTTGTTCAATGCCGCGAACACGCAGGAGAGGTCTCGCTTGAAATTATCTTCCAATTCGCCCGCCGTCGCCCTAGCGAATAGCAGACGACTCTGTATGATGAACTTGAAGATATATTCGAGAGAACGGAAGCATTTGATGATGGGTTCCTGTTTCTCTGCCACGGTCACCCAGTCGGCACAATGCTGTACGCTGCTCAAAAGACCTTTATACACCAGGGCAGCGGCGAAGTGGCCGGAAATGTAAGCGTCCATTACGGGTTTAAAGTGCTCGAACTTGGAATCCTCGAGAAGGCTGAAGATGGAGACCAGTACTTGAAAGACTAGGCCAGAGTGGGCATTGGAATTGCCGTTTTCCGTGTGGAACATCGAGAAGAGTGCGTCCAAAATGTCCTGCAGGAATTTCACCAATTCCTCACCGTCTAATCGCAGCACTCGACCTAAAGTTTCTGAAATACGTTCCGGATGCGCTTTCCATTGGAGCAGGCTTAACAAATCAACGTTCTGTGTCAGCTTTGTGCTGCAAAGTAACGTATGAACGAAGACGGCTTCTTTCGGCGATCGTGAAAATGCCGGTGAACCTAGTGAACACACAAGAAACATTAGTCAATAACTATGTCCGATGTGATTGTTCGAAGATCACGCGAAGTAGCTAAAAGTTTAGTTTTTAGTTATATGAAAATGCAATTTTGGTATTACCGGTTGCATTTGGTTCTCGAGCGCTACTGGGCAATGAAAGGTAACTCAACGAATCCAACTTCGAACGATCTTCGCATTTGTAGATATACAATTCGTGAGGGCCATCTTGAAGGGTGGCTCCACCGGGTTCCATGAGACGTACGAAAGCGAACGAAAACAACTTTTTATCGGTTTTCTCGCGTGCTGCAAAGGAAAACTGTGTGAAACTTTGACCGTTATAAAAAGTCGAGAGCAAAATTTAAGAGAGCGATCGGATAGTCCGCTATTGAAGCAACATGATTTTACTACTTACTGGAACAATGTCTGAACTCGAAACGAACGTGACTTCCATAAAACTTGTCTATAGGTATCGCCAGTCGAACCGTTTCCGCCCACGACGGACTATTATGATGATATATGATTAAGCTTTGGTATTCAGAACTACCCTCCGTTCCAGCGGCTCCAAACAAGCAACCCTCCAAAGGTTGACCATCCACGTCCAACACCAAAATTGTCACCTGACCATATCGTACAACCTGTTAGTTCCTGTATAAAATGAACCCGGCGTCGCTCGATATTATCGAATCGATCATACCTCGATATTCTTCCCCGTTGATTTCCCACCCCTCTCGAACTCCCCGCGCTCTAGTTTCAGGTACAAATCGTTCCGAACATCGCCCGGCATGATAACGTCGGAGAAGCCAAGCTTCTTCGTCAGACAGATATTCTTGAAGAGCAAAGGATTTTCTACCCGCACCTGGGACAGTTCACCGTGAAGAACACGCAGCGAAACCACTATGCCATAATTTGGTTGGCCAGGAAGCGGTGAACACTTGTTGTTGCGGATGATCTGCTCGTGCAGTTGGTGAAAGTCCTTCTCTTCGCCTTGATACACCTGAAACGATTGATTACTTCCGTAAATTGTATACTACACTGTAATTATGTTGCCTACACCCTTAAAAGTCGTATCGTTTTAATAGTGTAGTAAAGAAAGTATACTTGCATAAGTATAGTAACTCGATAAGGAAATAGTAATGGTATATAATAAAAAAAAATCAGTGTAATAGTACAGAATACGGTATACGGTGTAAGAGCATTCGTATTTCCTACAGTGCCTACCTTGAACGTCATCTCCAGTTCCTCGGTATGATCCTGGGTGGCTTCGGCGAGGGAGAGGACAGCGACGCCATGAGGTCTCCTGTAAGTAGCAGTTCCCGCTTTGTTCTTACCAGAATCGGAATACAGCATTCTCCCGCATCGCATCACGTGCGCGACCATGTACAGATCCCTGCTGAGGTCCGCGTTACCGAGATCAGTGAAAATCGTGCAGTTGCTGTGAATCTTCTCGATAAAGCTCGAGAAACCCTCCTTCGATATCCGCACGAGGAAACGCTCGCTCAGATATTGATTTCTCTTTGCGTCGTACAAGGAGAAATAAATCTCGGTGTCCTCGCCGACCGAGTGGCCGAAATCTCTCATGCAGAAGTATAGGTGATGCGTTAACACCTTCTTGTGTTCCTTCCGCCTGAGGGTACCTCTCGCCGAAGCTCCTTGCGAATTTTCCGCACTTTGCACGTGCTGAAATCACCGTCGAAACCAAATCTGAGCATAAAGGTTCCTTTTCAAAATATTTCTTTAACGATAAATATATTTGTTCAAGAAACACTCTCGAGCCCTCTGAATCAGAGAATTTTGGCCATTTGAAAATTGTACAACTTGAAAATCTTCTTAAGCTTTATTAATCGATAATTTATTAATCAATATTTTAGCAAAATTTCCCTAACAACTCACTAGGTGTGGCTTCAACTACGAATAAAAACGTGTTAGCTTTTGTCGAGTTAGAACAATGACCGGCAACTAAACACAGGGTTCTTAGGTATATCAAAATTTCCAACGTAATAAAAATTTCATGTCGCTCGTTCGTGCATCGAATAGACCCTCTAACTCTGACTTCGTTTCAATTCTTGCAGAGTATTCGAAATGGTCAGCACTCCAGCTAGAATTTCAATGAGCTTCAGCGATCCACGCACGGTGAAGTATGCGCTAAAGTGCTCTTTCTATCCCTTCAACGTATTCAGTTCTCTTCAATACACGGCTCTTCCACTATTTTCTCCCTTTTCTCTCGATGTCGAGTCCTATACCGACTCGTATGCAACGATAAATCCAGCCAATGTTTCGTTCAAACTCGTTTTAGCTTATAACATAAAAATTACTTGTAACAGCTATCTCGTGTTATTGTAATTACCACGTGATAAAGTTCGACGACCGACATGGTATCCGGGTCCACCATATGGGCACCCTGACGGGGTACTAAGTCCAGGCCCAGCTTTCTGAAACATTCAAGATGATACGTGGTTCGATAAAAATTGAAATATGTAACATAGAAGATTTTACTTAACGCTTTTAAAATAAATTCGGTTTAAAACATATAGAATTACAAAACCTATAAATTCTGTGAAATATGTCGATATCATTCTGTCACATTCGTGACACAGCATTCTACGTGAAAAGAAACGAAAATACTCTGCAACAAAGTATCGCACCAATCGGTGAAATATTAAAGGTATCGAGAGAATACAATTAACCTTATGGCTCAAGGTGGACCACCATCGGTTCCTTCGCACTCGGTCATTCATTTACAACGTTCTCCGAATTAAGTTGATCTTTCCAAAACTCGAGTACAAATATAGATGCAAATGTAGCCGTATAGGCGGTTAAATGTATGGTCAAGCAGAGGCGGGGCGGGTCAGGGCGGGTCAGGGCAGGACAGTGGAAGGCAAGGCGAAGCGAAGTGAAGCGAACAGAGACGAGAAGCGAGGAAGAGAGACGAGGAGAGGAGAGCTGCATTCCTGCGAGGTGAAGGGGCCACGCGAGGACCCTGGGCGAGTAGCTGGGCCTGTAGGGCCCCGATTCCCGATGCGTTCGAGAACACGTCGACCCTATGGCACGCGGTCGTCCGGGGTCATGGGAAGTTAAGTAGGAGCCCAGCCACTTCAGAAGTAGACTTCAGAAACTGATGCAATGCTTGGCTTAATTGGATCGCGCGTTACCCTCTCGATACGCTTTACCATCCAGTCGATCATCATCTTCGATGGTTCTCCAACTCTGTTAACGGCTCTCCTCGCTAGAGGCGACACTATCGTCGCGAACAATCGTCTCGACTGTTCGGAAACATCGACTACCCGAATTTGTTAACGTGCTAATTTCTTTTATTTTTCCTTTATCGTACGTTAATAGACGGGTACATAGGATACTTATGAAATCTGTTTCTCATTTCTTTATGCATATATTCGAGATGCAATTATAAATACAATTACAATTTCATACAAAATAAAATATTTAATTATTAAGATTCTGTGGCTTCGTGACAGGTGTTCTGGAAATAGGCAGAGGGATTGAAATCTACTAGAGTTTTATTTCGAAATATACATACTGAATCGACATTTGCAACTTTTAAAATCGAATAAAAGATACAGTAAATTTCAATAGGTTTCGCTAACTAGCTACTTGTCTCTATTTTATCTACATCAAAGCGTAAAATTAACCTGCTACGTGACCGAATCGATCATTGCTTTTTTTTTTGCACGGTCGAGCAAGTGGAGATTTCCTCGCGTAGGGAAGCAATGGTTGTTAAGCGATAATTAACGCTCGACTCGAAAACACGGTCGGCCGTAAACTGTGGATTTCCAAGTGGATTTTGGGCAGAGCACGAAAATTAAGTGGTACTGGAGAGGACGATCCTCGTATTTGCTTCTCGCTTTGTCTCGTGGACCGCCAGTATCCTCTTCTCTCTTTACACGCTTTACGTCACTGATCAACCTCGTATCGTCCTACGCCCTCGCGAACTCGTCGCTAAAGGGCCGTACTATTAATCCAATTCTGGTGTGTACTGGAAACATACTCGCGCATACAATTTCTTTGGAATAGTCTTGTTTGAAGAACGATTTTACATATAACACGCTAATTACATACGAAGCATAGTTCTACCTTCGTTATCTAACTTCGAGACTTTAGAATTTGCGAATTACCGTGCTGGACTTTACGACATTAAGCGTCGGGATTTCGAAACTTTAGAGCTTACTCCTTCGGGTCTTCAGAACTTATGTTAGATGAAAAACTTATCGAAGAGCTACAAAACTCCACATATGGATCTACTAGTTGTAATTATAGAAGAATTAAATATTTACATATGCGACAATGTCCGCGAAATTATGCAACGATTCAACAGCAAATTAAATGAAAACGAGACCCAAATGTTACGAAATACCCAGTAAGCTCTGAAAGTTTTACACGGTACTATAGGCAGAAATAAGTTTTTCCGTAATTTATAGAGACATTTACAGGATTCGTCGACGAATACGGTCCTGAGAATCCCAAGAGGTCTCCCCTCGGGCCCCTGTTGATGGAATGCAGGTGAGCAGGCAGACTTCGATGCGTGGAGACAGGTACAGGCAATGTCCGCCGCGTGGTTGGGACCTATGTCCCATTCTAAAGATATCGGATATATTCTCTGGCCGACGACGTTCGGTTCACCGCGATGGAACAACCTCGCCGAAGAAACGGGAGACGAGTTTCAACTTCTCCGTCCTTCTTTTCCTTCTCGCCTCTCTCTTTGCTCGACCTCATCCCCCGCGGATGACGAATTCGTTTGGCCAATGCCCGTGTAACACCTCCGAAAGTCGATTTACCAGCGCACAGCGCCATGAAACGACGCGACGTTTCTTCAATTTACCAACTTTCATCCGTGAATTTATCGTGAAATTTTCGAAAATGGAAACAGAATTCATAATTTAATACCTAGCCGAGGAAAGACTAGGATGTTTCGCACTTTGAAACTTTGCGGGCTTCAGGAAAAGAGGATTGGAATGGTCCAGGAAAATTTTGAGAATTTTTCGAAACTTCTCTAGAGACCCTTCTTGAACGATACGCCGAGTGTCCTTATCGATATAACCCCTGTTAAAAATTTCAGCAGACATCGAATGCAGCGTAAAATAGTACTTGTAACATATTAAAAATGTGAAACGAGTATGTCACGTACTTCTAGAGCAAGCATTATTAATAAGTATCGCATTTACTACTTTGCACTAACGATTTAAAGATAGGTCACGAAACGAACAGGCAGTTCCAAAGTTTCACGATAGGAAAGTTTCAACTTGCATAAATTACTAAAATTAGTCCCGAGTATCTAACGACACTCGGAGCTACCTAAACTTTGTACGAGTTTAAGGAAATCGAAGATTCGGACGATTTATCCGTGTCCAATCTTTTGGAACTTTCAAGTAACTCTAGAAGTTTATAACCCGAAAAGAGAGAGTGTCGAGCGGACAATAACGGCGGATTCTTCTCGTTGATCGTCAACTTCTCAGCTGCGAGGTATTCCTTGTGGAGTTCAGTAACCATTCGGTAGCTTTAAACGCTGTAATTACGCCGGGGCTGCTGCGGAGTCCTGGACTCCTGTATCTGCTTCAAACTGACAATCAATTATTAACCTTCGTTCGCTTCGCACCGTTCCGTACCATCTATCTGTACACTATGTTGCCTTTGCGTTGCAAATCGGCCGACTAACTAGCTTTCTTATGTATTTTCAAAGAATGCTCGTTTAATTAGAAGAAAAAAAATTAGTTATTTTCCTCTCGATACACTAAGTAGTTACTACCACTTCATATTTTATCCGTTTAGAATCTCCGACTCAACCTCTTTGGGGACGATATATTTTAATTATATTCTTGTCACGTTAAATCGATAGAAATAAAATTAATGAACCGCAACAAGAACAAAAGATAATTCGTAATAAAAATGATGATGCAAGAGCGTTACATCGGAAGCGTATAAGAAAAGTCGAAGGAATTTGGTCTTTACGCAAGCGTGTTTCGCGCGCGACCGTGTAAAACGGCCTTAATAGGAGTGTTTCCTGATCCCGGAACGAGTAACGAGACTGGTATACGTATAGCGAAGGGTTCGTGGGAAGACGAACGTCGAGTCTGCTTTGCCCGGGGGTACACGCACACCAACGCCACATTACGTGCACGTATATTCTCGTCGACATTTTCACGAGACTCGTGGTTGCACTCCCGAGTGCAGTTGCAGTCGCAGAGCAGAACGGAGAAGATAGCACTGGTGATGGTCGGTGGTTAGTAGTAATAGATGTCAGGGCCAAATCCCCTAGCCCCCACGATCTCAATTAGATCAAATGACGCGCGATTAAGCGTGATTAGCCGCGAACCTTTCAGTTTTTACTCGCTAATGGTCTAAGGCTAAAACTGGAGTCGCACTGAGCGCGTCCGACAGCTTAGAGTAGGCGTTTCTTCTTTTTTTAGAAACGATAATGTACATTTGTTTTCGCGTCAAATTCGTTGCAAAACAATGTAATCTTTTCTCGTTAAATTATTTATGCTAGACGATATAAAGATGCAAAAGTTAGCGAATACAGGAATTTGTAAAAATGGACATCGAGCTTCGAAAGGTCGTGCACCTCTTATTCCTGGCACTATTGGCCTGTTCGCCTCTTCTTGAATAATTACATCGGCGTAACCGGGAACAAGGCTGGATTGCTAAGTAGGATCACGATTCCCATAAAAATAGGAGAAATTGAGCTATTTGGTGTCCCTGCACGAAAACAACGAACCACCGAGATTGTTCCCTTAAAGGGCACAGGACATTTACAGCGACGCGTCGAAAGGGAGCAACAGCGTGGTAGGTTGGGAAACGCTGCTTCAATTCCCCGTAAGGTTAGTCTTTTTTCTTTTTGCGTTCGCCTCGGCGTAGCACGGTGCTGGCGTTGTTCTACCCGGGCCCAGGGCTGTACGATGAGAGAGGTAGCTCGTCGCGAAGGGGAAAAACTGCTTAGGTAGGAGGGCAGTTTGATGGTACGCGGCTACCGACTCGCAGCTACTTCGGTCAAAGAAATTTAATGAATGGTAGTGATCGTCGGACATAATAGACCGTACACCTGCCGGCAGAAATCTGTCTATTCCCTTGGGCTTTTCTTCCGATCCTTTCCGGACTAAACGAGTGTTATTTTAAATCTCTACTTCCTTCCCAAATTTACTTTACCTAATCTAGCTGATCACGTAGGTATATTTTAAAGCACAGTCGGAACTAATATACGTTTTGCTAACCACGATAAAAAATAAGAAAAGTGTAACTTCCTTGGATTCTACAAGAATTAATCTCGAGCTCGTAATGACCATGGTTTATACGTAGAGAACGATTGTTTCTCGGTAAAATGAATCCTCTCCGCAGTCGGTGGATTCGAAGAATTTGAAGGACTGGGAAACCCTGGAACGAAGAACTCGAGGCGCGGTTATGCAGTCGGGACTTTCGTGTCCCGTAGCACCGCGTTACCCGAACGAAGAAGGGGAACCGAGGAAGAACAAAGAAAGAGGTAGAGGGAAGAAAGGGAGTCGCGTAAAGGGCAGTACACGCGAGCTGGAGCCGCGAGGCACGCTCATTAGAAATAATAATAATTACCGCGGCATGAATAATAAATGTTGCCGTTTGCTCGATACCCGACTAACCGGGAAGCAACTTAACCACCACTGGCACGCGGTAATTAAATAAATGAAATATACATGGTGTAACGATTTGTTTCTCGACCGGTTGAAAGTGTCGTCTTGTTCCATGAATAACGCCAACTGGCGGAGGAAAGATGGCGACCGAGAAATCGAGTATGCGGTCATCCCACGAAACCGTTATTTACACGCATACAAACCGTGAAAGGTTTCGATATTACTTCGGAGTCTGACGATGCTAGGTTATGTAATCGGTATGGCCATAGGGAATGAAATCGCTTCGATCAAAAAGCAGGATAATGTATGTAATCAAATGACGTGAAACGCGTCTACGGAAAAATAAGGCAGATAATAGAAGGAAATCGTATGCTGGCATCTTATCGGAAACAGATTTGGCAATCGACTGAAATAATAGCGCGGTCTTTCTGACGCAAAGTCAAAAATCGAAGAATCAACGAAGAAAGGAGGACGAAATGGGAGGACGCAGGAGGAGAGAGGCTTTAAAGAGCCAAAGCGAACCTTCTCTCGCAGGGGGAACAGGTTCCCGGCATGGTTACCGCGTATTCACCGAGCTGAAAACCTTGAGCTCCACGAACAGAGAAAAAAGCCTTCTGCTCTCTCTCGTTTCTGATGCTGTGGCTACGGTTGCTCTTTGCAGACACACGATACGAATCGAAAATTCAAAGTCGAAGCCTAACACGTGAAATCATTCCGAGTATAATGAAATTTTAAGAAGCAATAGCTTCAGTAGGTAGAGAGCAGGGTGAACCTGTCTCCTCCACCGCTGAAATAGAGTTTGACCTGTCCAACATAGCGCGGCAGACGTATAAATTACAGAAATGTTCAATGTTACAGATTCTCGTATATTCGAAGGAGGAATTGAAATTTGAAATATTCAAATTTGACCACCCTATCGTTAATCCGCGTTGCATCCGAGTGTACGGAGGCCATCCGGAGAAACTGTAGCCGAACGTTTCGGAGAATAACGCTTGCGGTTCTGCGATTCGTCAGACTACGTCCGAACGACAAAAAATCACGAAACAAACGTCGCGTTGGAACATCTGTTCGAATAAATGATCCGGAAGGCGACGACGAGACGAAACGACGAGGAGCACGATGCAACCGATTCACGAGAAATCGTGGTGACGCTGATTTCCAAAGGCAGGCGACTGTACGCACCTGATAGAGTCGCCCCCACGCTCGAAACTCGACGGGGCAAGATGGCGGGGAGCGGCGGGGCCCAGAACGAGTCCCTGACTCGGTTCAGTCGCTGTTCGTACGTCGGGCCCCGTTGATACGTTGCGCGGCCTCGTTTCGTGCCTCGAAAATTCTTTCGAAAAATATTCGTTCATTATCCGCGGGAGACGCCAACGGAACAGCAGAGAGAGAGAGAGAGGGCGAGAGAGCGAGTCTGACGTACCGCGTCAGACATTAACTCTCGACACGACGCGTTCATCGTTCTTATCCTTCCCCTCTCTTTCTCTTTCGCGCTTCGACCACGTTAACGAGCTTCAAAACGAATTCGAATCGTGCGAACAGTGAATCGTGTGAGGTGCAACGCTCGGTGGTTGTTTTTTCACCGGGGAAAACAAAGAAAAGCGACGCTCTGCGGCAAGGAAAAAGACGATCGACCAATAAGCGCGTGGTTCCCGCGCGAACGCGAGACAACCACGGGATCGAACAAACCTAGCCGATTTTCGGTGTGGATTTTTAGCGCCGATTCGAGAAGGTATCGTTCATTTTTCTCGACGCTACAGTGCTCGTTCAATTTGGTGGTGGATTTCTAAAGCTTCGTCCGAGGTTTGTATATGCAAAAACAGCGCGATAAGTCTTATCCGAGAAAGAAGTGTAAAACGAACATTGGAAAAGGCAGCTAACATTGTAATCGTTGGAACTAGTGACCTACAAGTCAATCGAGATTTCTGTATTTGTACCGACCATAATCACCGCGAAACGTAAACATCTCGTAACCTTTCTAAAACGAACTTACTCTTTTTCATCGACGACCACGTGCCGTTCAGCAAAACTATTTTCTATCGTCGCTCGAGACTTATTAAGGCCGTTCAATCGACCCCAATTGCTCGAGTGCATTCTTTAAAACGTTTTAATCGCATATTCGTCACGATCGAGCCATTGCTCTGCGTTGTCATCGGCTAACGTACGATCGTTTCCACGTAGCCAACCGTGAAAGCGTTTCTAGGTACGAAAGCGGTAAATGCTCGGGTCGGGTAAATCGGCTTAACCTTCCGTATTTTCTGTCCTGTCCGAATCCGAAATCCATTGTTTTTGCATCGCTTTCTCGAGTTTAGTCGAGTGGAACAAAGAGAATGAAACCCGTTGTTATACCGACGAGCTTCGAATCTAAGTTGAGAAAACAACACGTGGTCTTTGGAACATCCATTTACCACGAATTTCCTACAATTTTAGGAGACCCTAAGGATAAGAATTTTCCAAAATTACGCTAGATACTTTTTCGCTGGATGGAAGAATAATAAACAGTTTTTCCAAGATCATCGTCCAATAGCGACTAAAGAAAATGTGGATTCAACTTTATCAGCGTCGATTCTGATCCTGTCATAGTATTAGACGACAAAGTAAATTACCAGCTTATTTCAGGCCATATACTCGCTATAATTTTGAACAATTATCATTCCTAAAGTCTTCTATAATTGCATCAGATTTGAACTACATCGGTGTTCCGATTGTTCACTTCCCTCGCTAGTTACAGGAGCAGCCAGTGCGCTGATCCTTCGTTTCTAGGTTCCACCGCGAGATAAAATTGTGATAACGAGCGAGGGCGAGGGACTTGCACGCAAAGCTTCATAAATACACGGCATTATCTGCTCGGTTCAGGGACTGACGGTAGACCGTAAACCGCCATTGTGTACATAGGAGATCCCAGTTTAACCATGCTTCCCGAAAGTTTCTCGGAGATAATGCGGCTTCCAGAATATTGTTTCGAGGAAACGTCTAACCTATCCTACCTTCTATCAAGTTTTACGCGAAATTAATTTTCGCGACCGAGGCAGATTCTTAACCTTTTTCTGCACGGTTTATTCGATATTCCAAAAAGATTTATCGTACTTTAACCGTGAATGCGTGACGAGTCTGACTCGTATAAAGCAAGGGGTTATAAGGAACGTTGATAACGCGACGCGGAGGAGGAAATTGGTGACAAGTTTCTTAGAGGTCTTCGACCGTGAGATTTAATGAAAAATACCGACGGGAAAGCGGCTGTTAACCTCGTTCGAGACGCCATGCGAGCCATCGAAGACGCGGCTGCACGTTTCACGCGGTCTGTCTCGCGCCAGTTTGTCACAAAACTGGTTTATCCGGAATGCGAGTCTGCAGAATCGAGCGAGCATTCGATCTGCCATACGCGAACCATACTTTTATAATAATTTAACCAAATAATGTTACATTCTACGTGTATCGCGTGTTAAATGAATTAATACGTCATTTCAAAAACAATATCGTCTTATTAGACATTTTAAGAAGGTAACGAAACAAACGCGTAACATTATAGTTTACTTTTTTTTGTTTCATAGATCACCGATAGCATTCAAATATTGTACTATTTTTCAGTATTAAATGAAACGTATAAGGCGAACGGATTATTATCTGCAATGGTTGCAAATAGTTTGTATGGTCTGAAATTTTAACCTTAAGGGTTAAATTTCAACTGCCATAACGGACAGCGCGCCGAATTGAGATTTTAATTAAAATTTCACTTTCGTGATAACATAAGCGTTAAATTTGAATTTAAATGAAACTTCAGCGCGTTACGACATGGAAAGTACATTAACCGCTATGATTAAAACCTTCATAAATCTCGAATATTTATACACACGGTATATTTGTCAAAGAAAATTTTGCAGTCTACAATGTGTGTACTCAACAGCAATATACATCTTATTCTTTTTTAAGAATGATACGCTGCGACATTCAATATATGTATCGCGGTCAAAAGCCTGCCTCTTTCTCTCTTTTCTCTCCCTCTGTCTCTCGGCTATCTCCGTTCTACTCGTTTTTCTTCTGTATTCTCGATTCTGGAGGCGGGCAACGTTTCAACGTGATTCATGTAACGCGAAGCAAAGGATATTATACACCTACTTCCGGAATCCCGTTGGCGCGTTTAAAAGCGTCGTTTGAATGCAACGGATCTCTTTATCTTACGAACAGAACAAATGTTTTGTTGATATTTCAATGAGTTTTCATATAATGACAGATCTTGATATTCTGAACTTCCTGTTTGTGGAGTCGACTGTTGATACTATGCAATTAATCGTTGCAAAAGTATTTAATGTTAGTTTTTATCGTCTTTCACGAAATTGATGAGACATTCGACTGCTAAAAATAACTCACTTTTCAGCGCTGGTTCGAATTCCGATGAAGAGATAACATTCTTTTGGTAACAATTCACGATACTTTGAACTTTTTCAATTATTTCACGATATTTCATGATTTATTACTTTGAATACTAGAACGCTTTTGCTTCGAGTTTGCCATATACTTCACGGTGATTCGATGATTGAATTCGCTCGATATTACAATTGCATAAACGACTTTTATTATTCAACGATAAGTGATACTTTTTTTATAATCTCAACGGCATTCACCTTTCACTCCATGACGAAACGAGTGCCCTTCACTCGAACGATACTGCTCGTCCAAGATAAGCGCGATACAATGCACAAACCTCGATTGAGGTGTGTTTCGGGCATGTTTCAAGTTGCCCGTCCCAACCACGCGTTCAAATCTCCACAAGGAGTTTCTTGCACGTTTTCCACGCGTGAAAGCTCGATATCCTTGACAATTTTATTCCGTTCAGTCATTGATGAGCACCGTTACTTTCTCTTTTGCTCGTAATAGTAATAATGGTTCTTACAATTTATATTTTTTATATCGGGAAACAAATTATCGAGAGAATCGCGTGTGATTGTTTCTACGGTATAATGTTCCTTAGGAAATTACTAGTTTTTCAAGACACGATATATGATACGATCAATAAAAATAAAACAGAAAATACAAGTCTTAGCTCGTAATAAACTTTACGATGTGCACATAAAAGAGATAAAATTAGAATAGCAAATAATTTCTGTGAACGCCATCTTGACATAATCGAGAGTCGGTATGCAAATGGAAACGCTTTTTATTTCGACATTTGAAAATGGATAATCGTGCTTAAAGAGCTAATTATTAGATAATTACGAAACCTTTCAGACTTCTATAGTCCCTTAAATGGAATAATTTGACAATCTTAAGTGTACTTAGATTCAGTTAGATCCATTTAGATAGTCTAAAAATAAAGACAGTCATTAAACTTCCATTTCTTAGTTAACTCATTAAGACAGAAAATGTTAATATGCGGTATGATCTGTTGTTCGGACTTAGGTAACTAAGCTTCATCTCGTATTTTGCGTCTTTTTGCATGGAAGCTTATTAACGAAATATGCAAAAATACTTAAAAAAATAAATGAAATATATTCAAATGAATACGGTGAATTTTAACAGTTTGACTGCTAAGTCTGAAATGCTTGTATGAATATCGTTTCGCGTATTTTTCTTTTCCAAGACTGGAGATAGAATTAATTCTGCTCACTGTTGTCGAGCCAAGAGTATTCTTATGGGCTGACGCATACGATGACGCAAAAAAAAGATTTCGCGGAAAAAAGTAGCTGCCTAACCATTTATGAATTTACATAAAACAGTTTGTACGTGTTAAGGTCGGTATGCAATTAGAAAAGTTGCAAAACTTGCAAGTAATTTGTGCTTGACCCCAATGAGTGCCACTCTCCACATCCATATTAAATCGTAAATATTAAACAGATCTTTATTGTATATTGTGGAATAGACATAGTCACATTTAATTTTATTATTCTTTCCTTAATCGGTATAGCAACTTTGAATATTAATTGTTTCCTCATTCGAGAGAGGTGATTCGACATTTTCGAGAACTAACTTTGATGGAAGAATAAGCCGTTCCTTGCATAACGGAACAATTACTCCGTAGTTACATTTCGTGAAATTCGAAGTTATCGAACAGTTAACGTAATCATAAGCTGTACATTTACAAAACGAATAAAATTTTGCTTGTTTTTCGTTTCCGACTCACATTTGCATGCGAAATCAGCACCTTATCCCTCGTACCATCTGTGTTTGAGTTTGAGTCACGGTCTGGACGAATGTTTGCACAAACGTTTAACGTCCAAAAATTTACAATTTTCTTTCTATTCGATAATTAACATTTGGTCTTTGGCCGTAGACGATTTATTGTTCGATGACATTTCCACGCGAGTTCTCCACAAGTTCGAACCGTTGCGTGGGTGTAATTTATACGCGTATGCGTAGTTCGAATCGATTCGCTGCAATTCGTACGAAAGTGGTTGAGAACAAATACTCTTTGTTAGCGAGAGGAAAATCAAGGAATACACAGATCGAGTTGCGAAACGCATCGAGTGTAATATATTTAACTAACGATTTGCTCCAGTAACTTATTCCGCGAACCGTGTGCTTAACTAGCAGGAAAGCGTTATTAAATGTTTATCCACCTTTCGTAAGGTTATTGAAAAAGCGAGGAAAATTTCATGAGATCCAATAAATCGCTGACCTTCGATCAGATCTTGCGATTATCGTCGATGATAGGTTACTCGTCATCTTTAATCATATATCTTGCTAATAAATAAGTAGAAATATCGTGTGCTCCTTCATCACGTTGTATCGAATTAGAACACAAGTTATTACTTGAGACGTATGTGCATTATTGCATGGTATTCGCGTTAATAATTTCTTGACATACT